TCCAAATTCAGGCCTAATGCAACAGTTGACCGTTATTCCTGACGGTCAAACAGACGGAGGGACTGAATGTATTAAAATGTGACAACATTAGTGTGTATTTTGTTGACGGTGGTAAATAGCAGACCAAAAGTGAAAAATGTGTAAACTTGGGGACCAAAACTGTAATTATCATATTTGTATTGTGACTAGGGGTGGAAATCGGAACGAAATTTCCGATTTCCGCCGATTCCGATCCGAATATTTCCGATTTTGGAATGATTTTTCGTAATCCGATTTCCGAAAATTCCGAACAAAAATCGGATCGGAATCGGAAATTAATATAAAAATTTCGGAATTTCCGAATTCCGATCCAAAAATAATTCCAATTATTTCCGATAATTTCCGAAAATTTCCGATTTTTTTATGTATTTAAAAATTCGTTTATATATATTACATACAGTATAAGGCTACTATAAGGATTGGGCCATAATTTTATTCCAATATATTAACATTTTGACCCATTTAATAATTGTAATGGGGCTATTGGCTATACCCCCCTCAAACATTTATTTAATTAGTTTAAACCCAACCCTAATTACGAACTTTGACAAACCCCCCTGACCCATTGTATTCCAAATTACCCCTGAAATGAGACGGAAAACGTTTACAGTCGTCAAATCCCATCAAGCACAAAATCCCCCAAAATCCCAATTATCCCGCCTCACTGCAAGTTACGTTCCAATCCAAAATCACGAAAAATCCGGCGACAACTGTAGTCACCTCCTAACCCAAAAACATATTTCAGTTTGCAGAAGTCTTATTTGTAGGTTTATTATTTTTTTTTCTGTTTAAAATTCCGACTATAGAATATCTTGATATTGTGAAACGCCGGACGGAAAAAAAAAATAAAAAAAAAAATGGGACGGAATCCCGACTCGTCAAGTAATTTTGTGCAATTTATTTTACTTTCAGTAAAATATCGTTTCGAGATTATAATGGTATTAATCGATTTCCAGCGTTTAACCGGATATTTTATCTGCTTTGTACAGGAAAACGACGGCCGAAGAAAAAACACGATATCAACTCCCTCGACGCCGGTGATAATCGCCTTTTCCATCGTATTTCAACATAGCAGACCATAGACAATTTTGTTGTGCTAAATCGTTCAATATACTACAGCCATTTGGAGTTGCCTAAGTTGTTTTCAAGAATTGTGTAGACATCTATGTGTTGTTTTGCATCATTTAGAAATTTCAGTAGTCACCTAGGTTTATTTTTCATTTTTTTTTATTTTAATTTATAAATTTTGGAAATTTGCTGATATAAATGTGGATTCTTTGCATTAGTAATGTTGTTAGACTTAGTCGATTGTAGTCAATTCATGTCCTGTATGGTGGTCTCATGTAACAGTCTGTTAACATTTGTTGTGTTTTATTTTTGTAGTCTGTAAATCATGTTAATTGTATGTACTTTTTGGTGTTCTATATAACATAGTTAATAACATATTTGAAGCACTTGTAAGACTGATTTTGAAAGCCACAATTTATTACGAGCCATTTAATACAATCTTATGTAGTTTCCTATTGCCGTTTTCTTATGCAGATGATGCAAACAAAAAAGTCAAAAAACGAGAGCAAGGTGGAAACAACAAACAATACAGATCAAATTTAACGTCGACCGTTACATTTTTCAGCGACGTATACCTGCGGCGAGAACACTTTGAGATTCTTCAGCAAACACCTTTTTATCACATGGTGTTACCCTTTGCAAAACACAAAATTACAGCTCAGTCAGTCACAGGGACCCAACAAGGCGCATTAAAGTTAATGTCCACATACAATAAACAGGGAAAATACTTTGAGATTGGGGGGAAACATATTACAATTGCACCATCGGACTGCGAGTGTATCTTTGGGATAAAATCAGGGAGGAGAAAAATAATTTCCGATAAAATGCGTAAGCCAACAACCGGTCTGGCTGCGAGGAAGTTTGCAAGCCACAAAAAACTAAAATTAGGACGCATTAAACATCAATTGGTTGAGTCCCTGCAAGGTAACGAAGAGGAGGACATCAGAGATGTGGTAAGGTTAATAGTCCTCCATCTTATGGCAAACTTTTTCTTTAATACTTCTGGTGAGTTTGCAAGTTGGTGGATGTTCCGATATTGCGATAATATCGAAGCTATGCGTGATTACAATTGGTCAAAAGGCATAACAGATTTCTTCCTAAACTCAGTCCAAAACTCAGATCCAGAGAAAGTTCAAGGTTGCGTCCCACTTCTACTGGTAAGTCACATAATTTGACAAGTATTCATTTATTGAGTACATGTACGATAGTCACATGTTCTCACTAGTCATTGAATGACTACATATACAATGTTCGCATGTGTCTATAAAATCATATTCATGACAGTCAAATTCATATTCATACCACATACATATATAGCCATCTACTGACTATTTTAATTTTTTGGCCGGTACTTTTCAAATGCAACAGTATTGCATATGTGAACGTAGTACACTCTTACAACCTGATGCGTTAAACAGTTTTCCGCGGTTCAGAAAATGGCATACAATACAGTTGGGAGCATTGTTCAAAACCAAGGCCATCGAGGATATTCCTCCAATCGAAGTTAACGAGCACCCCTTGATTTTAAACGAACGAGAATACAGAATATTAGAAGGTTTAGAACAACCGTTCGAAGAAAATGATTCGGATGACTATGATGGTGAGTACCCATACACCACGGTGCAGCTCGAACATGATGCCACGTGTGATGAAAATACAATGGATGACAACATCCCTATGAGTAGGCAGATTAAAAGCAAACCAAAGACGAATTTGGAGGCCATTGAAAATAACATAGAAACTGATGAAAAAGAGGTCAATCTACGGCATGAACTAGCTGAAGCAACCAACAGACTTTTGAACGAGAGACAAAGAAATATGGACCTACAAGCCGCAATCGGCAGATTGGTGACTGCAAGTTCCTCAAACGACGACCTCCGATTACAAATTACAAAGTTGCAAAATGCAAATCTGGAACTTCAAGATGAAAAGGTCAGTTTGGAAGCTCAAGTTAAATGCTTACGCAATGCAGAGGCCATGTTTACAAATGATGCACCTACATTTCACCTGTTGACGCAGACTCAGCCAGAAAAACAGAGACTCGAAAATGCACTAGAACAAATTTCGCGCATGCAAGTTGAAAAAACAGAGCTCAAGTCCCTCAACGAAGCATTGCAACAACAAAATTTCCAGACAGAAAATCGGATGGAACTATCTGTTAACCAACTGAAACCCTCTGTTGACCATAGCCCTATTGAACCCTTTGTTAACCATACACCGCTCACTCAATCCATCGACTATATTCGGCTTACGGCTGAACCACCTCATGTACTTGAAATAATGGAGTTGCGGGCGGAGATTCAAGTACTGAAATCTAAAGAAAAGTCATACCTCAAGCAAATCAAAGAAAACGACATCAAGATATTCGAACTTGAGTCTAACTGTGAACAACTAACCAAGGCATTGGATAAAGCAAAATTTGATAGGCTATCAGACAGTGACTTTGAAATATTTCCTCAAGCAATTCAAGCTAAGAAAAGGGAAGCCACATCTGCTATTGGAAGGAGAACACGATCAAAAAAACCAAATGTAACTCCACATAGTCTGAAAAAAACGAGACGGGTTGTAAAGTTCAAGAAATGGAAAGCATACACCGACATGGATGAAAACGACAGGATTAAGGTCGACATACTGGCCGACGAGTTGTTGACAGGAAAGTAAGAAACCCTAAACTCTTCATTATTTATAATTTTGTGTGATTTAAATTATATTAGGTTTGCATGTTTATCTATATGCAGTTAGATTAGATATATGTAGTTATTTTGAACTGTGCAGTCATCTGTATGCAATACAGTCGTCTATATGCAATACACAGTCGCCTAACGACACCCGTAATCAGTTATAGACTTCAATCCCTGTAATCATTTGTAGTCAATTAAATGCACCCTTAGTCATTTATAGACTTCAATACACAGTCGACTGTAATCAGTTGTAGCCTTCAATTCATGTAATCATCTGATGTCAATTAAATGCACCCGTAGTCATTTATAGACTTCAATATACAGTCGCCTAAAGTCGCCCCGTAATCATTTGAAGTCTTCAAATGTCTGTAATCATCTGATGTCAACTAAATTCACCCGTAGTCATTTATAGGTTTTAATACACAGTCGCCTAGAGTCGCCCGTAATCATTTGTAGCCTTCAATGCCTCTACTCATCTGATGTCAACTAAATTCACCCGTAGTCATTTATAGTCTTCACTAATGCCCGTAGTCGTCTAAAGTCAGTTGTTTGATAAAGTCATTTGGTGACACCATGTACAACTTGAAGTCTGACATACGAAATTTATGGTTACTATGCAGTAGAATTATCTGGAAAAATCCAGATGGAATGGAGTATGTACTAATTGAGGATGTGTTCAGTCTTCTTGGAGGATTGGAAATTGCTAGTAGTGTAAGCTCACTGTACTACGCATATTTGATATCTTAATAACAACACAACTTCATAATTCATTTGACTACGTTTAACTATGACACAGGTGATAGATGCATATTGCCATATATTAACCAGACAACAGACCATGGGTTGTTTCAAACCCATGTATGAAACTCAGTTGGCAGGAACTAGCTATGTATTCCCATCTATGTTGCTGGTAACTATTCCATTTTTTTTTTTTTTTTTTTTTTTTTGCATATGATAAAAAATTATCAACTAACACAAATATATTTCAGAGCACACTAAGACAATCAAGTGACCAAACCTTTGTACCCCCGAAGGACATAAACAAACATCGATACCTGGTTTTCCCATTGCACTCCAAAGGCAATAAAAACACAAGTTCCGACCATTGGACGTTGCTTATATTGGACAATCAACTCAAAGAGTGGAAGTTTTACAACTCGCTCAGGTCTCGAGTCAATAGAAAAGACGTATACGTCGATGATGCATCAGACATGGTATAATAAATTTGCAAGGTTCTAATTCCTCACAAAAATCAATTCATATCCTTTGTAACGCAATTTTTTTTCTACTCTTTCTCAGAAGCAATTCATTGAGAATACTATGAAAGCGTACAACCTAACGGGTATACCAATTGACAAACCAATCATCGAAGTTGAAGATGCCCCACAACAAAAACCTGATTCGAAGGACTGTGGAATATTTGTGTTGTATATTATCAGGGACACCTTTATGCAAACTGAACTTATTAACGAAGAAGTCGTTGAAGGGGTGACAGACCTGAGGCGACTGATTACCGAAACCTTTTTGAATTTCAAGATTAAATGAACGATTACTTTCGTGATCTTAAATGTTATTTTTTAAATGTTGAACTATCGGTCTAGGCGTTGAACACTGTTATTATCGGTGTGTATTATTGAATATTTTTTTCCTAGGGTAATAAAATGTTGACATGTCTACAACTTTTGAGCTTTTAATGCGAAGTTTCTGTACTTATTTTCTTCTCCATTTATTGGGAGCATGAGTTACAATGTGAGTGTGCACTAGATTCAACTATATTTTTTTCAATATGTTGTCTACGATAGACTACGTACACATACTGCGCTTTCATATTTAATAACGAGTTATCTATGATATTTAATTATGTGTTTTCTATGATCGTACTGCCATCTTATCTAATTATGGGTTGTCTATGAAAGACTACGTAAACATATTGCCAACGAAAATTGACCATGAATGGCTATTACTATCATCATTCACAAGCAAACTGTGATATATAGACAATCAATATACTAGTGCAAAAATAGAAAACAAATAGAACATTGAAAACGATTAAAAAAATTTATCAGTAACTTTTCATAAAAGAAAAAAAACAAAGCAAATAATAAGTGCCAATTCTAAAAAAAAAAGTACCAACACGTACATCACCTTAAAATGGGTGTCTATCAAAAAAATTCAAATGCCAAAAAAATCAAAGAGGTGCCGTGCATGTTTTTTTGTTGTGGTTGCCAATGTGATTACACCTACTACATTTCATTTTCCTTGCGATGCTCTCGCCTCTGGATGGAATTCTCTTAACCCTCGGTCTACCACGTTGCGGGTGATGATCGGGAGCACCAATCATATTTTCATCAACAACTGCTCGCTTCACAAACGGATGAATGGAATAAGAGTATGTTTTTCTATAGGATTCTGTATATAGTAATTTGTCAATATAATCGTACTTCAAGTTAGAAGACTTGAAAAGAACGCATGCAGCATGTGCGCATAACACCCCACTAATTTGCCACATTCCACAAGAACACGTCCTCAAATTAACATCAACAATAGCATTCGGACTGCACATAACCTCATATACGTGCTCTGAAGATTTCCTAGCAAACCATACCCTACCTTGCTGCACGAGGTCATTCACATTAATGTCAACATCATGACATAATTTCGTTGCCCACCCCTTGGCATCCTCGGACCTTGTGCACATCCACATCATCAAAATACTCCGAATACCGTCAACAAGATTCGTAATGGGGAGCCCCCGAATACTAGTAGTCTTACCATTCCATGATTCAACCGCATTAGATGTCATCTCACCATATCTTGCCCCTTCAAAGTATGCACAACTCCATTTATTGATTGGTAAATCCGCTAAGAAATTAGCAACCCTCGTTCCTCCATTCCTCACAAACTCACTAAATTTTATATCAAATTCTTGCCTAGTTGGGGCATAAAAACATGCATTAAATTGACATAACATAGACTTACGAAAGTCAGAAGGGCACCCCCTGAATTTGTGCAGCAAATTCTTCTGCAAGTGGGTCAAGCAATAAGCATGTAAACTTTCCGGAAAAATATTTTTTATCCCTTCGATAATGCCATGGTTACGATCAGACCGAAATGTATATGAACGATCCGTACCAATAACATCCCTCAAGTGAGTTAGAAAATATGCCCAATTGGAATCGGTCTCTTCACTAACTATTGCAAAAGCTACCGGAAATAAGCCTGTGGACGAAAAAAAATTTCAATAAATAGGCGAAAATGACATATGAATATATATATATATATATATATATATATATATATATATATATATATATATATATATATATATATATATATATATAATATACTACATTTAACAGTGTCATATAAATTCTATTGTAGTCTTACCATTATCACCATCTTTCCCTACGGCACTGAGTAGCATCCCCCTATGTTTACCCTTTAAAAAAGTTCCATCAACACATAATAAAGGTCGACATGCCTTAAAACCATACAAGCAAGCACCAATGGCAAAAAAACATCGTTTAAACTTCATGGACTCTCCATCGACATCAATATGATAAGCGCTGCCCGGGTTACTACTTACGAGTTCTTCAAAATAAGATGGAAGATGTGAGTAAGAACTTGAATGGTCCCCAAACACATGCTCTTTCCCAGCTGACACAGCCTTCCAAGCTATGTAATAGTTTATATCAAAACCATAATTCAGTTTCGTACTCACAATAATATCATTAGGTGATGTGTCTGGCATCTCACGAACATCATTGACTATTAAATCTGCAATAATGTTGGATGTCAACCTTCGCTTACTTGACGTACCGAATCCGCATCCACAAGTATGATGTTTTTCATATTTTCTAATGTAAAAAAATCCATTTGCCTTCTCAATGGATGCGTGAATCCTCCACATGCAATTTTTCGATGATCTATACTCACAAACAGCAGTAACCCTTACTCGCTCATTCTTCACATAATTGAAATCAAATCCAACTTCAACCGAAAATTTGCAAAGCGCCTTCCTAAATTCTGACGCACCACCTGCAAAAACTTGTCCAACATCCTTAATTAGATTTGCCCAACTCATACTCAATAGATGTCTTTCAGGGGGAGTCACAGTATTCAGCCCACCGTTGCACATTCTCGGTTGCATAAATTGAATAATTCTATCACTTGGCGTAGTTGGTACATTTATATGTTGCTGCGCAACAATTCCACTTTTTAGTTTAATGTTTATCTCAATACGTTCAATCGAAAGTTGTCGGATCAACGAGAACATATATCCAACGTCGTCATCATCACCCAACATACCCTCCCCGTTGCCACCTACTGAATAAGTGAGAATCATATTGCTCCTATTTAACGTATCCCATTTCGCTCTAACAAATCCAATCAATGTATCAAAATCAAATTCCAACAAACATTTCTTCACAGCATAAACTCCGTCAAACTTCAGCACTAACATCAGGTTGGTGGCCATAACACAAAAATGATCTGTAACAAAAAAACACCACTAGCCTCATGAATAGTGTGTTGTACACCCCACACAAACAAGAAACAGTCCTACAAAAATAAGATGACTACTACGACCATCTAGATTACATGCATACAAATATAACAAAAAAAAGGAATGATATTAAACTAGATTATACATAAAGTACCTAGTCTACTACATCCATCTTCCTATAAACATTTGTCCATAAGCAAAAACATATACACGACTGTGATTTGTTATCATATTGTGCTAGGTACACTGAAAAACTACAATCATCGTAACGACAAAACACATTTTTCCCAATTTTAAAGCAAACATCAACAACAATCATTATATTTTTATGAAATTAGCCAAAACACAACATGAACAAATCGTACCAACATAAAAGACGCAAACTATATAAGTGATATTTTGTTAATATTAACCTCGATTATGCAATTGAGATTTCCCTTCACGATCCGGTTGCTGTACTAAAAAATCCCCGACGCAGACTTTAACCTCCGCGTTTGATTTCACCAAAGATGTTCTTCGCACAAATGTTCTCCGCGTTTTTTTCACCAGCAAGATGTTCTGGGATTTTTTTATAAACCAAAATCACGCATATCACGTGATATGGCGAGATTTGTGTGGTACGTGAATGGTAACGTAGAGTCACGTTTGTTCCGTCAATAGAAGTAACTGTCAATTTAAGGGTACTATAGGAAACTACTAATCACAAGGGGGGTACGGCAAATAAAAAAAAAATCTAGGGTTGTTTGAATAAGGGTGTATTTGATATGGTACCTATACTATATTATTTTCCATTCTAAGGGGGGATCCCATATTTTCCCTTTTTTTTAACCGGGTACACGATCGGGTACCCGGGTAGAATTTCTAATACCCGGACCCGACCCGGTTTGGGAGCACCGGGTACCCGAACCCGAGAAAAACCCGGTTACGTCAAAAATTATATCCGAATAACCCGACCCGAATGCCCACCCCTACCTGTAATTACCCAAACAAAAGGAGGGTTTTCGTAATTTGACCATAAATCTGGGTGTGACCGTATCCCAAATATATAATATGTATGGCTGAATATATAAGTTGCAATCGTCTAAGATTATCAAAAACGAAAAAAAAAAAAAAAGAACTAAGTGGTGGCGGTAGCAATAGGTAAAATATGTATCAAATGCAGGATACCCGCCCAAATCCAACCAGGGGCGAGTCCACCCTTTTGGAAGGGTGGACTCAAGCCCACCCTTAAATTACAATATTTTCCTCATATTATACTTATATATCTATTAAGCTCAATCAATATTTTAATAGGCCACCCAAAATACAAATTGATGCAAAAAAAGTTCTAATTACTATTAATTAGTCCACCCAAAATTCAAAATGATGCAAAAAATCCCTTATATTCTATTTTTTTTTTCCTATTTTTTGATTTTGTCACAAAAAAGTCCTAAACTTTTTTTCGGGGGCGCTGTCCCTGTACACCCGAAAATTTAAGCACACCCTGTATCATATTCCTGGACTCGCCACTGAATCCAACTGCTGAAATTTAGCACCAAGATTTGAGAATCCTGCATATTCATTGGTATTAACGACAAAATTCTCAAAAAATAATTTTTCATTAATATAAAATTGTGATCTTCAGGGAATCCTGCATTGGGTTTCAGAATCTTCACCAGGTGTTTTGAACTTTAAACTTTGAACATCTAAGTTTATAGCCTTAGTCGTTTTCGTTTACTTACGATCTCCATTTTGCTTCAATCCGTTCAGGCTATTTTGTGGTCGATAAAGACTCTTCTCCTCAAAAGCTCGTATTTAAATCATACTGTGACGTTACGAGATTCTGTGAAGGGAGAAGAAAATAATGGAGATTGAGCTAACAATTCATAGGTAAACAACTCTTTGGTGTTAATTTGAAAGTCAAAAGAAAGTTACATAGTTTTATTTCAATGTCTATCTCTTTTTTTTTTTTTAATACCTACTAGTAATTTAGCACGTGCGAAGCGCCATGGCTGTTAGAACTTAGAATATAATAGGAGATATGTAACATTTACAAATATAAATGAATCATATATAACATATAGATCGCAATCGATCTACAAATGTACTTGGGATCGATCTCATGTATGATCGCAACATAAACAATTGTTAGAAACACAATAAGGCAAAAAAAATCGAGATAAATCATAAAATTAATTGCATAAATTAGTTCCACAAAAATCAATATTCGGCTAAAAAACTTCATTATTGAATCGCATACTTAGAGACTAAATTACCACACCAACATTAAATTCGATAACTTCTTCTAAATTATATTGCATAATGGGTGACGCCGACCTCCTTGTAAGGTGGACGAGTCTTGTTTTTGATCCGTAAACCTTGATAATCTTTAAACAAGAATCCTCTGTACTTTGGTGGCTCATCGATTTCTGTAGTAAAATGGGGTAACGGTTTGATCCACTTGTCTCCTCCCATGTTGTAGAAAAACAAATACGAGTAACTATAGGAAGAATAGAATAGGAGAAAGAGAGAGATAATAATACGTGATAGAATAGAAACCCCCAGTATGTTATGGATTGTTTACATGGAATATATATAGAGAAATATTGCAAGGTAATAGAGTTTGACTAGGTAACTAAATCCTAACTAATCTAGGTAACCGAATCATACTAGAATACTAATATTAGGAGAGTTCTATAATATAATATTCTCTAACACGCCCCCACAGTCGAAACGTGATGAACGTGAAGACTGGACAATCACTTGCTAACACGCTCCCGCACTCGGAACGAATATACTCCAAAAGTGAAGACTGGAAAAGAAGTCGCAAAACACAACGCTAGAGACTTCATCTGTTGAAATATCTGCCAAATTTAAAAAAAATAATAATAATAAGGGTAAATTACACACACCCCCCTGAGGTATGCTTAAATAACTGTAAGGTCCATGTGGTATCGATAATTACACTCAACCCCCTGAAACGTAGTCAGAAACTCTAATGTGATAATGGATTGGATACGTTATTCCGATAGCGTTCTAACGGACTATTGGTTTCAGAAAGTGGTGGAGACAAACGCTATGGGTGATTTAAGAAATGTTCGAGAATGTTCGGGGAGCCATGTCACCACATAGCTCTTTGTTGTCTTCACCACTTTCTGAAACCAATAGTCCGTTAGAACCCTATCGGAATAACGTATCCAATTTATTATCACATTAGAGTTTCTGACTACGTTTCAGGGGGCTAAGTATAATTATCGATACCACAGGGACCTTACAGTTATTTAAGCATACCTCAGGGGGTGTGTGTAATTTACCCTAATAATAATAACGGGTGAGAGAAAAATAAGCAACTTTTTTTTTATCGAGATAGAGAGAAGAGATGAGAGAGAAGGAAGAATAATAATTAAAAGAAGATAAAGATTAAAGAGAGAGAAATTATATTAACCGACTAAGAAGAAGAAGATGTCGGATAATAAGAAGAACTGATAAAGATAGAGATGATGCACCACCACCGGGGGAGGGAAGAAATTAGGGTGGTGGTCGCCGGCCATGGAGAAGAAGAGATGCGGCGGCTAGGTTTTAGGCCATAGGCCATGGAGAAGAAGAATAACAGAAAAGATAAAGAAGATGCACCACTGGGGGAGGGAGAAAATTCGGGTGATGTGCATGGAAAAGATAGAAAAGGAAAAAAATATTAGAGTACCACCACCGGGGGAGGGAGAAAATTGGGTGGTCACCGCCATAGAGAAGAAAGACGGCTAGGTGAAGTGGTCACCGCCATAGAGAAGAAAGACGGCTAGGTTTTCACCGCCATGGAGAAGAGAAAGGCAGCTACGTTAAAAAACCTAAACCTGGTGCTCTGATACCATATAGGAAGAATAGAATAGGAGAAAGAGAGAAATAATAATACGTGATAGAATAGAAACCCCCATTATTTTATGGATTGATTTACAAGGAATATATATAGAGAAATATTGCAAGGTAATAGAGCTTGACTAGGTAACTAAATCCTAACTAGTCTAAGTAACCGAACATACTAGAATCCTAATATTAGGAGAGTTCTATAATATAATATTCTCTAACAGTAACGACTGCTTCCTTTTGGTCTTATAACTCTGTGCAACGAGCTCGTCAACTTTTCGTTTGTAAGCACCTGAAAAATGTACCCAGATTATATTAGACTCGAATGTGACACACTATTATTAACAACTTTGAACATAGATTAAATATGTCAACTCCTAAATTAATGACGATTGGTTCCACGATATAGTAGGTGAATTATGTTTCGTTGACATACACACAATACATATTTAATCAGATGTAGCATAGATAGATTTGAGTCAACTAACTATGTGAAAATATTAGTCAAGTCTTCCATAAAATAATATTCAAATTTTGGAAAAATACAGATTTCATCATTGAAGTTTGCACTTATTTCACATTTTGTTCCCATGTTAACAAAAAGTATATTTAATCCCTCATATTTCAAACTTTCAATACTTTTAGTTATTTACGTCAAATTTCAGTTAAAATTAATGGAATCAAGCGTGTGCCCATCATTGTCTTAACCGACAGGCTACAGTCAATTGATGGCAATGACTAAAAGTGTTATTCACTGGGTGTAGCATCTACAAAATCATTATATTGTTCACGGATATTACATGGATATTCGTGAAATTAGCAATTAATTACAAATTACAAATGAATATTTTGCCATGTATTTTATTGAAAATGTTTTATCTTTGCATGATTGGAAGTCAATTAGATTGGGTCCAACATTCGTAATTTCAAATTATGAATGAGAATAAGAAAAGGAAAAGAATAGGCGAAAATCTTAGTGAACATTCTAAATCGGGAAGTTTCCAAATTTAGAAAGTGCACTGAATTAGGGTTTCCACTTTTGGAAAGTGGAAATCGAGAGTTGACACTCGTAATGACGAGGACATTATAATGATTCCGAAAATGTAATCGTTACAATTTTCCAATCATTGAAT